AACTTAGAGTACAGTGTGCAGCTTGCAGGCAGCTCAGTAGGTTGGAGAGTGTCTTTTCCAGGTAGCTTAGTTATCTGAGCTTCTTTTAGGTAGCTTAGTTGGTCTCTGCCTCTTCCAAGAGCTTAACTGATGTACTAGTCAGGGTTCTCTAGAGTAACAGAACTTACAGAATTAATCTCTTTCTCTTTCTCTCATATATATATATATATATATATATATATATATATATATATATATATATATATAGAGAGAGAGAGAGAGAGAGAGAGAGAGAGGGGGGGGGGAGAGGAGAGTGTGTGGGGGGGATTCATTAGAATGACTTACAGGCTGTGGTCTAGCTAATCCAGCATTGGCTGGCAGTGAACAAAGTGTTCAAGAACCCAGTAGCTGCTCAATACAATGAGGTTGGATGTCTCAGCTGGTCTCCAGTATATGCTGGCATCCAGAAGAAGTAGGCTCTGATGCCAATGAAGGGATAGAATTGCTCGCAAAGAAAAAAGGCTTCCTTCTTCCATGTTTTATATAGCTTCCAGCAGAAGGTGTAACCCAGATTAAAGGTATGTCTTCCCATCTCAAGATCTGGATTAAAGGCTTGTGTCTTCCTACCTAAAAAAAGATCTTGATTAGAAGCAAATCTCCTTACTTCAGATTAAGCAAAATTCCCTCACAGATGTGCCCTCCATTTTTGGATTTTAGTTAATTCCAGATGTAGTCAAGTTAACAACCAAGAAAAACCATCATAGCTGTTCTGCCTCTTTCAGGTAGCTCAGCATGTCTGAGAATGTCTTTCCATCATTATGGTTTATATACACTTGGGCAGGGAAGGTGCTGGTGAATCTGGTCAGTTTTAGGGACTTCCTTTAAGTTGTTTACTTTCAAAGCTTAACTAGTTTTCCTGCATGGTGGAATGTTTCACTTCCCTTTAGAATATCCTGTATCTTAAGGAACTTCTCTTCAAGATCAAATGTTTTATCTGGAAGCAAATTGCTATACAACAGTGGGCTACAGAGTGAGTTTAAGACTAGCCTGAACAACTTAACAACACTGTGTATCAAAATGAAAAATACAAAAAGGGCTGAGGATAATGCACAGTGGTAAAAAAAACTTGCCTGTCATGCATAAGATCCTAGGTATCATTTTTAAAATATGCATATGAGGATATGAAATATATTTGTATTACCTTCAAATAAATATTAACTGTATGCACATATATCAGGATACATATGTACATATATATGTATTATATATATGATATATATAGTATGTATATATTTATCAACATAAAGACAAGTAAATAAGACTACAAGAATGACTGCCATGAATGAGAATTATTCAGGAACTTCTGAAAGCTGATACATAGAGAGGACAACAAAAGAATTGACTCTATGAAGGCATGAACAAGAGGAAAGCCAGTTGTATATACTGGCAATGGTAGGCATGCAATAGGCAGGATCTTTCTCAGCACCCATTAAGAAGTCAAGGCCATGAGACCTTGTGAAAACTTCTCTAGACACCCCCATTTGACGGGATTCATTTTGGCATATAATTTGGGGTAATCACATACCCTGCATTTTCTGATGTAGGTTATATGAGGAGGAACAATTAAGCCAGATAACCCATCATCAAAAGCCTCCAGTCAGCCAAGATAGCGTTGCATGTAGAGACCAGAATCTGAGAGCCACAGCCAAGACAAAACTCACACCCGCAGCAGATAGCAAACTGCCCCTTCACCTCACCCCCAAAAGTAAACAGAGAATTGTCAGGCTAAGTATGAACACAACAGAAACTAAGTGTATGACAAAAATTCTTCTAAGCCCCATCCCACCCCTCAAAGTGACTAAGACTTCAGGAAGTAAACCTTTAACACCTTAAGAAACTCAAATTAGCAGACAGAAGACATCAAAGTTATAATTGATATCCACTAAGTATATTCAGAATTATATCTATCAAAGAAAAAAATATTATTATGAAAAACAAACTATTAGGAATTGAGAAATTAAACATGGGACCATAAAAATTATCCTTTTCATGTTAAATATGAATGCACACACTTGACATTGTTTTAAATGAACTGAATAAATAATTGTTAGAATTATTTACAGTTCTCTGCCAAGAATCCACAGGAATAAGAATGAGGTTTGTGCAGAATCTTACTTCACTCAGTATGCTTATATATTTCCTGAAGATTGTGTTATTTTCATGAATTTAGCAACAGGAACAAATTCATTTAAAATATCTTGGAATTTGTCAATTAGTAACTAATACAGTAGTTGCCCAACACTTATCCACAAGGACTGTGCTTCAAGACTCAGTGCCTAGTGAGGTGTGGTGGCAATATTCCTTTAATCACAACACTTGGGAGGTAGAGGTGTGTGGATCCCTGTTAGCTCCAAGGCAATCTGGTCAACATAGTGAGCTCCAGGACAGCCAGAGATTGCGAGACCCTGTCCCAAAAAACAAAACAAAAAGGCTCAGTCCTAAGCCAGCATAGTTAGTATTAAACCCTGCACACGTGAACATGTGCACATACCACACACACAGTTTTCCCTGTACCTCCTTCCTTCCTTTCATATTGCAGTTATAAAACACCACAACCAAGGCAACATATGAAAGATGGCATTTAATTGAGCTTACATTTTCATGATGGTAGAACAAAGGCATGGCAACAGGGACAGCTGAGCGCTCACAGCTTGATCCAGAAGCAAGAAGCAGAGGAAGGGCACACTGGCAAGGCACTGGACTTTTGAAACCTCCAAGTCCACCCCCCAGTGACACACCTCCTCCACCAAGACTATACCTCCTAATTCCTCCTAAACAATTCCACCAACTAGGGAACAAGTATTCAGACGTCTAAGCCTATGGGGGCCATTCTCATTCAAACCACCACACCTGTGTACCACTGAAAAGTTTAATTTATGTATTAGACACAAGATAAGATAAATAACTAAAAACAGAGTTATAGTGTAATGAAAGTTATAGGAATGAGCTTTCTCATGTCATGTTGTACTGTGTTCACTATCTTATGAGATACAAGGCCTACCTGATGAAGTGTGGTGACACTGTGATATGGTCCTAGGCTGCCATGTAAAGATTACATACAAGCAGACACTGGGATAAACACAGTAGTGGATCTGACACCTGAGCAGGACTAAGAGAGCTGAAGATGGGTAGACTCAATAATGTGAGTGCACAGGATAAAGAGATGAGTGCCCTTGGTGGGATGGGGTAGGACAATAGATTTCATAACAGTAGTCAGGATTCTGTTCAACTTAAAACTTACTAATTATCTCTGGAACATTCAGTTTATTATTTTTTTACTGTAGTAGGGCAACAGAAACTTCAGAAAGCAAAGCCACAGACATGGAGAGGGGACCACTGTATGTCTAAAATGGTTACTTGTAATACGTTTCCTAATTTATGGACCCTTGTAACATGATTATACTTTATTAGCAGCTCTCACTCCTCATTTAACAGTCTGTGCCACAGTAAACTTCTGACCATCTCCATTACTAATTTGTGAATCTCTAGCTTGCCCTCCTAACATAGCTGGACACTCTGTTGTTGGAACGTCTGCTCTTATTGACATATAACTGTTCATGCTCTGATTTTCCCAGTACCATTGTGATGACTTGTGTTCATTTTTTTTTTTTTTTTTTTTTTGGTTTTTCGAGACAGGGTTTCTCTGTGTAGCTTTGCGCCTTTCCTGGAACTCGCTTTGGAGACCAGGCTGGCCTCGAACTCACAGAGATCCGCCTGGCTCTGCCTCCCGAGTGCTGGGATTAAAGGCGTGCGCCACCACCGCCCGGCTTTGTGTTCATTTTTTATCTGGCATGCAGGATGTGACCTGGTAGCGTCATGCTGTCACTATGTACATCTGCTTGTTACATAATCTGATCTCAAATAATGTCCTAATTTGCTTTCTATTGCCATGATAAACACTGTGACCAAAAGTGACTTGTAAAGGAAAGGGTTTGTTTGAGTTTATTGTTTACAGTCCATTATAAAGAGAAGTCAGGGCAAGAACTCATGACAGGAACCTAGAGGTAGGAACTGACACAGAACGCTGCTAATTGGCTTGCTCCCCTGACTTGCTCAGCCTGCTTTCTTATAGAGTTCAGGACTACCTGCTAAGGGGTGGCACCACCCAGAGTGGGCAGGGCCTTCTCACATTAACCATTCATCAAGAAATGCCACAGGTCAATCTGATGGAAGCATTTTCTCAGCTGAAGTTGCCTCTTCCCAGATGACCCTACTTGTGTCAAGTCAATAAAAAACTAGGTGGTGTCACTGCACAGACAAGTCACTTGGTTGGTCTTACACCACAGGTTGTCTCTAGGGCAGCAGCTCCATCTCATTTCAGTTATTTTATCTTCACCTGGGCTGTGTGGAATCTGCCCTGTGCACTTGAAGATTGGAGACCAGTGGAGTTTATGGAGACTCCCTCTCCTAAGCTGTCCCCAGGTTTAACCCCTCACTTCCCTGTAGCTGGAAGTTTTCCTGTGTCCCGCTGGTCCTGCAGCCACTCAGACCCAAGTAAACACACGGAGGCTTATATCAATTATGAATTGCATGGCCATGGCCTATGGCTCAATTTTCTTGCAGCTAGCTCTTATGACTAAACTCAGCCCATTTCTATTAATCTATATGCCACCACGTGTTCTGTAGCTTTACCTGTGTGCCATTACATGCTGCTCCCTGGACGGTGGGATGACTTCAATCATATAAGTGTCACTCCATCCCAAGAGTCATTTTTTTTTCTCTAGACTCCCCTCACTTTTGATCAATTTGTAATATTGATAAGATCTGGTTTGTTCTGTTGTGGGGCTTGTTTGATAATGTTCAAAGTGTTTTCTTCTTGGTTAAATACAGTCTATCTGATAGGCGGTAATTTGGGTATTTAAGTGTATTTTTAAGTAATAATAATATGAAGACTTTAAAACATAAAAAAACGTTATTTTGAAATAATGCATTTTAACTATTTCAAAATACTTTTGTCTTAGGAAAAAGTCTAATGATGCTGATAACTGTCAAAGAGAACTTAGGAAACTGAAGTTTGAGACCGTTATTTCTGAGTCAAGGTATATACTGCAAATTTTTCATAAACATTTTAATAACTGAATTTAAACCATATTTCTAAAATCATGTTATTGAGACTGTACATGCCTGTTGTTTTCTTGCTTATATATGTAATACCTAATTTGGACCTCCTGATAGCTCTGTATCTGCGTTGTCCATGGTTCCTGTGTCTGCCGACATTGATGTCACTACTTTTTTCTTTGCTGTGACAAAAACAACTTAAGGGACAAAGAGTCCATTTTGGTTCACGGTTTAGGAAGGAACAGCATCAGTCCACATGGCAGTGGGAGCATGAGGTGGACGTCATCAGGAAACAGAGATAAATGCAGCCTTCAGCTTACTTTTTTGTCTTCTTTCAGTTCAAACCCCAGCCTATGAGATAGTGTCGCCCACATTCAGGGTAGTTCTTCCTCTGTTAAACCTTTCTCAGAACAGCCTTATAGACACCACCAAAAAAGGATTTCTGTGATGATCCTAAGTCCTGCCAAGTTGACAGGGAGACTAACAGTCGCAGCCCCACTCCTTGTCAACTTGACTTCCAAACATTACATCATAACATTCCACATGGCCCCTGAAGTCTCATTTTCATCTCAGGGTGCAGACCTGCCTTTAAAAAATCCCAACACGGCTCCAAAATCCAATGTCTCTTTGAGACCTAAGGCAGTCTCTTTAAGTGAGCTACTATAAAATAAGAAACCACCAAGTTACCCACTTCTAATATATAACACCACAGAGTAAGCATTCCCATCCCAAGGGGAGGAATGGTATTGTAGCAAGGTAAGATCTGCCCAAAGCAAGTCAAACCCATCAACACAGACACCAAATTGTGACAGAATTATCTGGGCTCCGATGGCCTTCCACATCACTGTCCCCCCAAGCATGCCTCCTGCAGTGCATGTAGCCTTTCTCTTGGGCTTTCTGGCCACACCTGTAGCTTTCCTCATCAGACACCCCATGATCCTGGCCTCTACAATACCCTGTGCTCTCCACTGCAGTTTAGGATTTATCTTCACAACTCTACCCGTAGCCTCTCAGGGTTCCTTGTGGGGAACCAAACCTTCCCACAATTACCTAGCCTCAGCAGCTCTCTGGATTATTTGGGGAAAGCCTCCATGACTCCCTGGGAACCCTGTGTTTTATATGCCTAGAAAACCAGCACCAGGTAGATGGCACTGCCTAGTGCTGCTACCAACCTCTTCCTATCATAACACTCCTGAATCTGAGAAAGTACTTTCCAAAGCTGTAGTTTTCAAACAGGGAATACCCTCAGGAGCCTTCGCAGCTCAGCTTCTCTTTTAAGTAAATATACATTTTCACAAGTCAAAGCTTTTGATGGGGGGGTGGGGCGCCTTTCCCATTGTCTCACTGGTACAGTTTGCAGCTCCTTTGAGTCGTCTGAATCTCTATAATGGTTACAACTGTTTTGTCTGCACTTGCCTGTCAGCAACTTTCAACTGACAGTTTCTTCCCCAAACTGCGAGTTTTTCATGTCATTCTGCCTATGTGTCACTGCCTGTCATTGTTGACCTGACCTGAATGAGAACAGTGAGCAGTGCTTGTGACACAGCCTGAATGTTATCCCAGCCTCACGTTTTCTCCACCAAACAAATTAGTCTTTTGGTTTTGAATTCAGTCTCACTCAAGTTCCCAGGACACAGGGGAAGCCGTGTTCTCTTCCAGAAAATGACATGAATGGCCTCTAGCTCTAAGCTCCCAAGAGATTCCTTTGTGATGCATGTGGGATCTCTCGATGCAGGGTTCCACTCCCTGCATTTCTTTCTCTGTCATTCTGATCTTCCAGTTTTCTACTTGAGTGTCCTTACACTCTGCTTACAGCATTCACAGGCTTTTCTTGCTCTAACTTCCAAACTCTTCCACATTCTTCCCACAAACCAGTTCCCAGGGCCTAAGAAACACATGGTCTATTTATCTCACTCCTTGGCACCAATTTTCTGTTACTTTTCTTATCGTTGTGAACACAGTACCCTAAAAAAGGCAACTTAAGGATGCAGCGGTTTGCTTTGGCTCACTTTTGAGACGAATACAGCCCATTATGGCAGGCAAGGCAAGGTACAGAATCATGAGGCAACTAGTTACATCATCTAGTCAGGAAGTAAAGAGCGGTGAAATACCAGAACCCGGATTCCTCTTTCTTTTGTCTGGAACCCAGGCCATGGAAAGGTTTTGCCTGCATTCAAAGAGAGTCTTCCCTCCTTGTTAAACCTTTCCAGAAATGCCTTTGTAGACAGACTCAGAATCTGTGGTGGTTCTCAATCCAGCCAGGTTGACAATGAAATTAGTTACCATGTTCTTAACATCTTCATTTTTAAGTTGTAATTATGTAATTATGATGAAAGTTCTCCAAAATATGAAATCATAGCCTAACTATAAAATCCTTGTATCTAATGTATGCTTGTAACACTTTGTTTCCTGTTCCTTTTAGGCACAATAGGCTACTTAAAGAAAAAGATGACTCTTTAATGACATGTCAACAACTATATAAAACTTTACAGGAAGAGCTGACCACAAAAGAAAGGCAAGAAGAAGATATAAAAAGAAGAATCAACCTTGCAGAAAATGAACGAGAGATGACCAAAGCTCTTCTGCATCAGACACAGGAAGAAATTGTAACACTGAAAAATGAAAGGTACAGTCAAGAATAATTCCTTAAAACTATTTTATCCTTAAATAAGTATCCAATATATATTTGAAACATCAGTGTGGATATTATCATAACATTAAAGTCAGGACTAAAGACACATTTCACATGTAAGTTCATCGGAACTTAAGTCCATTCCCTCACTATGAAGTGATTAAGCTGGATCTCGGCTTGCCCACATTGTTGTGCAAAGGCTCTTGGTTCGTCGAAGCAGAGATGGCGTCCAGGTTGCTTTGCTGTTGGAATTTTACTCGACGTTTGAGCATTTGTAAATATTTGTAACCTCACTCAAAAACTGGTGAATCCTATTTTTAACATAAAAATGTTGGTTTGCTTTTTACCACTTTCCCTTTCGTTGGCTCCTCTTCTCTCTGGTCTTTAACTGTCTGAGGCTCTTCTCAAGGTGGCATCAATGGAACTGAAAGCGTTCTGGCCCAGGCTCCCAAGGTACTGTCGTTCTGATCAGTTATCTTTACATGAGCCTTTTCTAGAGTTACATCTCAACTCTGCTTTCTTTCATGTTTTAATTTCCTAGAATGACTTCGCTCATTCTTTCTGAACCCTTTTGTTTTAATTGTATATCTAACAGATAGCATAAAACTTGATCTTTTCCTTGTTGTTGACTTTTAAATTGGGGCATAGAGATTATTCCTTTTACATGTATTGTTCTAATGATTACATCCTAGAATAATACAAGCCTTATAAAAACAGAAATTTTTACTTTTTATTATTGTCTGCACAAAGGAAGCTGATGATTGACTGGCTACTGATTATTACATAATTTAAAAGAAAATTTATTTATTGCTTTTGGTGTGTGTGCACATGCATGTGCATGTATGCATGCATGTGTGTGTGTTTGTTGGCACGCATGCCACAGAAAACATTTGGAGGTCAGAGGACACCTCTGTGGACTTGGTTCTCTCCTTCCACCTTTGTTCAGGTGCCATGGTTGAATTCAGATTGCCAGGCCTTTAGCAATCACTGTGCTGGCCCTCTCCTTTCATTTTAATCTCATTAGAAGATTTTGTTCATGTTGAGTGTTATTTATACATTTTATGAGTTTTTTAGTTCTCCATAATTATAGTTGTTTTCTGAGAATAAATCTGGGGTAGGGCTGCAGCAGTTGATAGCAGGCATATTTAATTACGTAACTGGGTTTGTTGCACAGAACTCTCTCCCCAGCACAGTGGCGGTGGACTATGGGACAGATCTTCACAGTTCTCTAAGAAACAAAGCTCATCTCTGATGCTGCATGGGTTGATTTTATTTCTACTTCTCTTTGACTAAATACCAACTGCAGAGCTAATGTCATCACATTCCTTCTTCACCTTGAGATACCAGTAACCTGATTCTTGCAACAATGTTGTCTTTGTACCTACCTGACTCTTCATCAACCCCTTTCCTTCTTCATTTCATGATTATATATATTCAATATTATATATATTTTCTTCTTCATTTCATGATTGGATAGCGTATTAGAAGCTACAACCTTGTAAGCAAGAAATGTAAACAAACCAAGCTTATTGGAGGAGTAACTACTGGGAAACTGAGCTTGTGTAAGTGTAAAGGAAACTTCTGTATGGACACAGAAACTTCAAAATCACTATAATTTAGACAAACATAGTAGTGTATATTAGAAATATATTAGAAATATATACTGATGGCCCTGGGTATGTCAATAACTTCAGAAATGTCCTCCCTGTCTTTATAGTAAGAGTTAATAACCAATGGCCATAGTGATTGCCTATCATCTGAAAGCAGTCATGTATTCTATAGAGAATGCACAGAATTACAATCCTCAAAAAGATACAATGAAATAAATAAAACCTTCAGAAGTCTTTGATTTTGAACCTTGGTCATCTGAAGAATTCTTCCATTATATAGGATTCCTTGTTTTTAGTGTTGCTGGGTTAATGAGGCTTATCTAGATGGTTGAGCTCCTTCTACCTTTTAAATCAGTGGTTCTCAACCTCCCTAATGCTGCAAACTTTTAATACAGTTCCTCATGTTGTGGTGATCCCCAACCATAAAATGATTTTGTTCCTACTTCATAACTGTAATTTTACTACTTTTATGAATCCTAATGTAAATATCTGATATGCAGGATATCTGATATGTGGCCCCCAAAGGGGTCATGACCCACAGGTTGAGAACTACTGTTTTAAATGTTTCTGGAATTCTTCTCTGAGGATTGGTCTAAGTATACATGTTTTACATTATCACCAGTGTGATGAACATTCACCCTTTAGGAACAAATCCAAAAAAACTTAGAAGCAACAGGAAGTAAATAGACATATTTAATGTAGGTACACTGAAAAGACTCATAGCTGGCCATGGTACACACCTGTAATCCCAGCATGGAAGATGCTGAGGCAGGAGGATCACTGCAAGTTTGAGGCCAGTCCAGGCCAATCAGGGACACATAGTTTGACCCTGCCTTAAACAACAACAGCAAGGAATCCCAGTGGTGAAGCAAGGGCTTTGTATTTTGTGGGCTTTTGAGTTGGGCAAACAGATTTACATCACAGCTTGGCCATTGTTAAGCTTGGGCAACCCAATCATGTTAACCCTTTTCCTTATGTGCAAACTGGGCATACTAATACCAGCTATCCTTTTGTGGATTCTAAAGCATCTAGCACTTTCCTTGTACATTACAGACACTCTGAAGTATTATTTCTTCTGTTTCATCTTTTTTTTTAAAGACCACTGCATGCTGTGGGATGTCATTCTGTATGCTGTGAATATGTGTTGCTCTGACTGGTTGATAAATAAAATGCTGATTGGCCAGTAGCCAGGTAGGAAGTATAGGTGGGATAAGCAGACAAGGAGAATTCTGGGAAGAGGAAGGCTGAGTCAGGAGTCACCAGCCAGACACAGAGGAAGCAAGATGACAAGGCAGAACTGAGGAAAGGTACCAAGCCACATGGCTAAACATAGATAAGAATTATGAGTTAATTTAAGTATAAAACCTAGATAGTAATAAGCCTGAGCTAATGGCCAAGGGGTTATAATTAATATAAGCCTCTGTGTGTTTACTTGGGGAACGCGAGTGGGAGAGATTTGTCCCGACCACCAGCAAGCCGGGACACAGGAAAACTTCTACTACAACTGCTTCCTAAAGCATCATTTTATACCCTACTGTTACCATGTAACAAACATTTGGATTCAATATTACCTGCTTTATTCATAAGATGTAATAATTAATCCTTGGGATGATTCCACTTTGATGTCATTATTAGAGCAGAGCATTACCAAAAGAAGTGCTCAATACTATCTGTAAAAATATAGCAAAATTTTCTCCCTAGACTCACCATTTTCTCTGGTTTCCTATCCATCAACAGCTTTGAGAACAACTCACTTGCCCAACTTCTTATGCCATCACACACTTGCTGTTTTTAATGGAGGCAGGAGCAGTGGCAAAATCAAAATGATCTCTTTGATTGACAATGTGAAGACGTCTCTAAAAGAACAACTTGTGAAACAGGGCTTAAAGCTGTTGTTTTGGCATTCTGGTTTGACGTTTGTTTGCAGTTACGTTTTTAACTATAATTAAGGGAATCTAAAATTTTGCATTTATATAAAAATTAGAGTCTCATTTTCTTTGGGGGTCTAAGAATTTAAAAGTTAGCTTTTAAAATAAATACCCTAAATTGCAAGTACATCCTAATTTGCCTATTGTGTCAACACTGAAAATGTTAATTGAAAAGAATCTGGTGAGATTGCAGGGTAGAGGGGTAGAGCTAGCTAGCCACAGCTCCCCTTGAGAAGCCTGCAGAAGGAAGGCAGCACGACACAGCATAGAGAGCCCTGCATTGGCACAAGCTTGCACTAGCGTGGCCCTTGTGAATCATATCACCTCAGTCGTTTACTCTCTGGTCCTCATTTCTTCTAACAATGAGACTGTTGTATGGGCATACTTCTTTCTTTCTTTCTTTCTTTTTTTTTTTTTTTTTTTTGATTTTTCGAGACAGGGTTTCTCTGTGTAGCTTTGCACCTTTTCCTGGTACTCACTTGGTAGCCCAGGCTGGCCTCGAACTCAGAGATCCGCCTGGCTCTGCCTCCCGAGTGCTGGGATTAAAGGTGTGCGCCACCACCGCCCAGCGTATGGGCATATTTCTAAGATAAATTATAAGAACTTGCATCCCCAGCGACAAGAGTAGGCACTCGGTATGTATCTGCTAGCTGGATGAGGTTGTGTTCCATCCTCCTCAAACCACTGATTACAGGATTTGAAACTAGGAAGTTCCTCTCAAATTTTCTAGGGCTTCTGGCTTGCTGAAAATAAGAGCTTGGAGTAAAATGGCTGTGCAAGATCCTGATAGAAATCTCCTTTATTTGATTCTTCATAAAACTCAAATTTAGGGCTTAAGTCTATGGCATTTCCTATAATCCTAAAACATCAATATCTCTCAAACCTTCTGAAGAAGTCCAGTATCTACATAGATGGAGCTTTAGCTTTTTGAGACATGGCTAAAGCATTATAATTAATATTTTTATATTTCCTAATTCCTCTAGGTTTCTAATAAATTGTAGTCAAGGTTGGTCCATTTAGCATATTTCTATACAAAATTGCTTTCTCTTATCACGGTTATAATCTCAGTGTGACAGCCCTTCCATGGGCATACTACCTAAGTGTGATTTTCATTTAGGGAATCAGGATTAATCATCACTACATACATTATTCATTGCAAATTCTGTTCTAATCAAGGATAGTGAGCGCTTAGAACATGGTGCATAAGCGTTCTCTCTGCTTTGCCCCATTAAAGACTTCTTAGAGCCAGGAACAGGGGCTCAGCAAGAAGTCAGAGAGGTAGAAAGGTCCTTATTCTGGCAACTACAGGTTCAAACAATATTTCCCTCACAGTTGTAAAGTCATAGGATAACAGTTTACTTAAAGCTCCATGTACTTTGTGGGAGTGTCCTAACAGATTTCACAATTCTTTGTAAGGTTAGTTTAATAATGATCACTTTCTTCACCTCTTTGAACC